AACACATAGCATTTCTAGCTATGTGGCTCTCTCGTTCTGTCTTCTGTACAAAGTCTCTGCAGGTAGCGAGGAAATACCTCACTTTGACCAACCAACTGCACTTGAATCGAGGTATCTGCCTAAGTGAGATGATTTTGGCCAGTTTATATGAGTCTTTGAGCGAAGGCGTTGGTAGACTGAAAAACCAAGAAAGCAACGGGAACCTCTTACTGTCGGGGACCTTCTGGTTACTTCAGCTTTGGCTCAATGCTACGTTTGAGACCAGTCTTCCCAATAAAGGAGTAGTTGATGAAGAAGACCCTGAGATAACAGGGAGACGAGTCGAATGGACTCGATTGGTCAAGCTCACCCCTAATGAAGAAGGTCAAACACTTAGGGCGATTATCTTTGGTTTTATTAAGATGTTCGCCAAACGCCATGAGTTCACCCCACGGATGGCTCCCTTCACAGAGAGGAAATATGGCCCTGAATGATTCACTAGGGCTTTTCCTCCTGCATTCAAAAAACATGAAGCAGAGTCAAAGCTTTACTGGGAAGGTTTCTTAATACCTCGACTAATAGTCCACAAACTTAACCTCCTGAGAGGCCAGGCAGCTCTGATGGCTTACCAACCAAACCTTGTATCTCGACAGCTTGGCTTAGTCCAAACACTGCCCAGATGTCTATACGACAAGAAATCCCATGTTATTCTCCCTAACATTGTCTTCAGTACCCTCGAGAGTTCGACGCTTCTTGCTCGACACGGTCACAAATCCCTTCTCACGCCTGTTTACTTCGAATCTTCTTACCTTTGCACTCAAGAATTCTACAACTGGTGGTCAAGGCACTATAGCTCAGAATTCCTTGATGTTTCGAGCTTTGTTCGTCTAATTGACCAAGCTTTTATTGATGTACAGGAAAAAGTCAAGAAAGGTATATCCACTCATATCAAAGAGATTCAAGCCTTTCAAAAGTACTTTGAAACTGCCTATTGACCAGATGATGTCGAACTATCCGCGAAGCTGCTGTCACGTAGAAGGAAATTTTTTCAAAGAAACTGGAGACTTTAAAAATCCCTTTGTACTTTCCTCGTGAGAAACATTATAAATTGGCTTTCGCCTTATTTCCCCCAAAGACTCCTCGATTGCCAACTGCTGACTTTGGAGTGGCTCTTGCTCCTCAATTTTCAGATTGATTTATCTGTGGGGATTCTATAAAAATCCTTTGTCAGCAGTCGAAACCGAAGGCCCAACGGGTGGTTCAGACTAAACATACGCTCGATAGTTTCAAAGGGCACCTTCACGTTGGTATCGAAGATGTTCGCATCGGATATGAAATCCTTGAAGGTCGTCATCCTTCGATCTTAGATTCCTTTATCTGGACTCTATTATTACTAACCTATGGCAATGCTACTTGTTTTGCAGTTGCTCTTAAAAGGAATGCTCCTCAGCCACGGGTTGAAACAAAGACTGAAATCCACAAGGTACTTTGCGCCTCTTTATTTTGTTACCCTGTTATTGATTGCTTCTAATACATCTTGGTACCTTAGGTGTCTCGCAAGCCACCTCCAACACCTCAAGAGAGGCTAAAAAGAGCCTCTGCTCAGATTATCATCGACTCAGACGATGATGACGAATCTTCTCCTGAGGAGTTACAATTGAAGAAGAGGAAGAGAACCAGCCAAGGGACGGACATTGCTGATAACCTATCTGACCCCTCGACGGCTAAGGTCTCAAAACTAACTGACTACACCTACTAGTGGTGGTGCAGAAACCTCCACTAAGCGCGGTGGCTCAAAGCCAACATTGGACAAGTCTCCTTCCCCAGCCACCATCTTAAATAGGCAAGGTGAGCCTACTTACCATCCCACGTCTGATTTGGGCTCTGGCATGAGTTCCCTTGGTGAAATTAATAAACCTGGCCTTGAAACAGTTCTTCCTTCGCCTGCAAAAATTTCTACTCAACAATCCCAAACTGATGGTTCTGATCACGAAGAAGATGATGAACAACAAACTCTTGAGACAACCAATGTAAGAGACATCCCTATGGAGGAAAATACATCTTTAGCTGATGCAGGTAATTCTCCATTGGGCAACACTCTTGGCGTCGAAAATACTGAGCCAACAGGGAATGAGGACGCTAATGAGGACGAAACCATGCATCAATCTGAATTGGACGGCCATAGTGATGAGGATACTGACAATGGGATGGATGAAGACAAGTCAGATGATGATCAGAGTGAAGAGGAGGAAATTGAGAAAGGTCCAGCCAACGAACCCACCCAAGTCGAGGTTGTTGCTACTCCAACCACTGCTGCGGCTAAAGAAGGCAAAGCAATTCCCACTACATGTGAAGCAAGCCTTACTGAAATAAAACTCAATGCCCTATAAATTAGCAACCCTCGACAGTACATCAAGATCCTTCTTGGGAGCCGAGGAAGTTCTTCTGGCAAGACTCTCAGCACTTCAACTTCTGAGGATCAAGCTTCGAGCAAGCCTAAACAGAACATCCTCCAGAAGATCAAAGAAAAAATCTTCAAGGGTGATCTTTTTTCTATCTTGCAAATGGACCATGTTATCCACCTTTCTCTAAAGAATCTCCTTCAACAAGTGGACATTCACACCATCTCTCCTAAATCTGCTACCGTTATCCTAGAACTTGGCGCCATGATTGACCAAGTCTATGGGGATCTCAAACGGCTGCCTCAGACTGAAAAAGCCATTTTGACCAAAGCTGGAAGTGAGGTTGCCGCTTGGGCCGCTGCTGCTGAGTCTGAGACCAAGGTAGCAGAGTTGGAGGAAGCAAAAGACAAGAACAAGCAAGAGGTTGCCTCCAATGAAAAAAACATTTCCTCCTGGGAGCGAAAGATTAAGAAACTTCATAGCAAGGTCTCGAAGGCTAAGAAACGGAACGCTAAACTATCTGCCTTCGACGATTCCAGCCTCTCGAAAGAGCTTGATCATGCCATTACTTTCGCTGAGGAGGCTTGACAACTGGAGACAGAGGTTGCCCGTCTGGAATCTGACAAAACCTTGTGTAAAAGGCATCTCGAACTCAAGAAGTCGAGATATTTAAGAATGAAGGAGAATCTCTAATTTTAGTTTGTTACTACTTTTGTAATGCTTTCCTTTTTTGGCCATCATATGCCATAGTCTTTAGACTTGATTATGTAATGTCTCGAGCCATTTTGGCATTTATAAATACCATTTTTGGCTTTGCTTTATATATTGAATTATTCTGTAGAGATTTTAATTTCTTGAAGCGCTGGTTTGTATTTTTTCAAATACTTGCCATTTACTTTCAAAATTCTCTTATCTTCGTTTAATTCTTCGACTTCATAAGCTCCATTGAAGAACACTTGAGTAATTAGGAACGGGCCTTCCCACTTTGGGGACCATTTGCCCAAATATTTGACCTTTCGATCCATAGGAAAAATTACCCTCCAAACTAAATCTCCTGGCGAAAAGGTCTTAACCTTAACCTTTTTGTTATATGACTTTTCTACTCTCTTCTTTTGCCTTTTCAAAAGTTCCAGAGCTTTAATTCTTTCCTCATCTAAATCCACCAACTCGTCTAACATCATATTCCAATAAGTCTCGCAAGGAATTTCATGATGTCTCTGAATCCTAATTGACTGAAGGTAATACCGCGTCATGGCCAAAGGTCAGTCGAAAGGGGGTGCTATTGTGGCTTCTTTGGGAGAAGTTCGACATGCCCAAAGGATCTGGTCCAACGTCTTATGCCAATTTTTAGGCTTCTTTCCCACATGTTTTTTTATCAGCCCAATCACCACTTTATTTGCTGCCTCAACTTGACCATTAGCCTGGGCATAATAAGGTGTTGAGGTTAGGAGTTTGAATCTCATTTCCTTAGAAAACTCCTGCATCTTTCGACCAGTAAACACTGACCCTTGATCTGTCGTAATTGTTTCTGGTATTCCAAACCTGTAAATGATATACTTTTGAATGAACTTGATAACGTCCTCTTGATCCACCTTTGGTAGAGGTACCACTTCGATCCACTTTGTAAAGTAGTCAATTCCTACCAGGATATACTTCTGATTTTTAGAGGATGTTGGTCGAATCTCTCTAATCAAGTCCAAAGCCCACCCTCTAAAAGACCATGGTTTGACTATAGAGTGTAACTCACTTGCTGGGATATGCTGTATGCCAACGTGGACCTGACATTCCTGGCAGCCCTTGGCGAATTCAATGCAATCTTTTAACATGGTAGGCCAATACACTCCTTGATGAAATAATAACCATTTCATCTTATGGCCTACCTGATGTGCTCCACATGTCCCACTATGGACCGTCGAAAGGGTCAGATATGCCTCGGATTCACTAAGGCTTTTAAGTAAAACCCCCTCAGGGGTCTTTTTAAACAACTCATTTCCTAGAAGAACGTAACTTAGAGCTTGATACTTAACCTTTTGCTCTGAAGACGCTGATGGATTACGTAAGTACTATTGTTTCAACCATTTGATGATTTGAAATGGTGCCTTCAAAATCAACATCTCCCTACTTTTATTTATGAAAAACCTAGTAAGTCTACTATATTAAATATTTGACTCAAGGAAATGGAACAACCTTAAAACTAAGAAATTGTCTTAAAAGAGACATTCACTTGTAAATGGATCCAAGGTTATTTATCGTAGGTATTTCACATCATTATGTTACCTAGGTTGTTCTAATGGAGAAGACCAAAATATAAATTTTCTTATTTATTCAAAAGAATTGGGTATATTATTGTTTTTGTTATAAAGTATTTAATACAAGACATAAAACAAGTAAATGAAAATTTTATTGATTGGAAATATATCTATGAAAGACGCATGATTTTCAAGAGAAAACTGTGCGAAAAAATATAACAATTGATAATCATCTTCAAGAGCTTAGAAGAAATGAAAAAATAAAAAAGACACTTCTCCAAACTTAAGTATAAGTTTAGGTTCGAATTCACCCCTTAGAATTAAAACACTAGAAACAATGTAAATGTCAAAAACCAAAACCAAAAGAGTACTATAGTTTTACAAGTAACAAAGAAATTAATGAAAAAATGAAAGCAAGAGAATTTGGTCTAAAAAAGTAACTACCATTTGGTAACATAGGAAATGTGTCAGGTAAAGGCATGTCACAGTTTTCACCATTGAAATATACTCTTCTTGGAAACGTCCATCCATTTTGCAATGTGAATGAGTTCTGATCTTTTTCCAATAGTATCTCTGTTGTCACAGAACCTACCCCATCCTTATCAGAATGCATTAATTCATTGTTGAAATAATCTATTCCCCAAAAAAGTGCAACTCCATCTGCCACAAGAGTGGGAAGTTTAGTGCTGTTGAAGCTGTAAGTTGTTGCTTTTTGGCTAAAACCCGGATGTTGAACCAGGACGTTCCAATTCGAGTAGTTTCTATTGAAATTGTAGTTAGAAATTGTAAGCTTCACCCTCCATTGATTCATATAGTTGTTCTTGAAATGCCAATGGACTCGAATTGGACACATGTGGTCAGTACATCGGATTATGTTTTTCTCGTCATTCGATCCTCCCAAAGAATCACTTGGCCTAGTTACAAAATTTAGTCGCAGAAAATAAGCACGCAACAAAATTAATAACATGAACGAATGTTTGAGCAAATGAAATAACGCGCACCTTATGCAAGACAGTGTGTTTTTATCGGCTTCCCTGCATCCGCCACAAGTGCAATTACGACACGGTGTGATGATAGGATTGTAAAATGTGGAGAAGGAAACACAACATACCGGTGACTTGTTTGCCAAGAAACTTGAATATGTACATATTGACTTCCAAGTTCCTGGAGTGTAAATGTACATATATACTAGTATTGAGAAAAATCGTCGAAAAATATACATTAGTTATGCTTTATGATTTGTTTAGTAACTTACTTATAACTGGAACTTGTCTTACTCCTCCTAAATCTAAGGACACCGAGGGATCGGTAACCATAAAAGGGCTACAAGTGTAACCAGGACCCGGCGCCATGAATGTAACATTCTTAGGTGCTTGTCCAATTGAATTTTCTTTTTGGTCCAAGTTTCTTACTTCAAGTTCAAATGAAGTTAATGAACTGAGAGAATCAATAGCTCGGGCAGAGAGGCGGCCGCCGCGGCAGCAACGGACGGACCTGTTTTGTGTGACGTCCGGAGATATATCAACTATGATAGGATCTTTCTTACATGAATGTGGCATCTGAGAACCACTGTAAGATGAACAATCACCTCTATCAGTTGCAATTGCACCACTCATTGACCATATCACCTCATTGTTAGCCCATGTCCATCCTAGTTTCCACCCTGGTTTGTCTACATGCCGATACTGATGATAATTTTGAAGTGTCACCGTTGCCTGTAGAATCGGAAAACACACTCAAATTCAATCTAGTAGAATCGGAAAACATAAATTATTTTAGTCTGAATCAATCTTTATCGCTTCAGAACCAAACGTGATTGTAACGAGTCGTGACTACTGACCAGATATCCGTTGTCCAAACGGTTGTTAATGTCAAAAGTTATAGAAAAGTTCCCATTTGGATCCAAAGGGTCATAGCAATCTGCATACAAGTGCGAAGATTAAGAAACGAGAAAAGAAAAATAAAAGTCAAATAATCAACAACAGAAGACAGGTAGATGCAGAAACCTGATAAAGTGTAGAGAGTAGAAAGTAACAAAATCAACTTGAGAGGGTTTACATGATGAATAATCAGCCCCATTTTTTGACAGAGAATCGATTTTACGAATAAGTTAAGAGGTGTGTTAAGTGAAGTCTAGTAATATAGAGAAGCTTGTTATCTGGTGGTAATTAGGATTAGGAGTATGAATATTATATTACTCGGATCAAACAAGGGATCATTGGAAATGTCACCTATTTATCATTACAAGACAAGCTCTCGTATTATTATAGTTAGTATGTATATTATACAAAAGATTCTACTCTAAATGCTTGCTAACAAGCTATAAAACGGATAAGTCCACGACACCGTTGAGGGTAAGTTTTTACGGTTTTATCTTTTATCAAATGTGTAAGATTCTCCGACAGTAGGTGTTACTGATTGAAGTTGCAGCTCAGTCTACACTAGTCTCATAACAGTTATCATACTTCAATTCAACCAAGAGAAGTTGTGGAGATTACCAAGAGCATATGTTCCCTTGTTTGTCACCAAAACTCATCCATGTCCTAGATTTATACAAACCTACTACATATCCAAGGCTTCCAACTGTTAACATCTCATCAAACATAGTGTGCCAACTTTTTTTTAAGAATGAAATCAATAATTCATATTTTAAAATGATAATATAAGTAACTCTAGAAAAATAAATATTTCAAATGTAACACTTATTCTTAATATAAGACAGATAAAATATGATGGACATAGTTTCATTAAACCAGCTCAGATGGTAGCTGTGCAGGGACATCAGACTGCAAGGGCGCATGTGATGGACATAACAATTTGCATAAGTAAATAAATGTTGTTCTTAGTTTTTAACCGGTTGCGCATATTTTATTTGACTAGAACTAGAATTAAGATGGGTGCAAAAGTGTAGAAGATGAGCTTAAAGGTTCATGCACAACTGAATTTGAAGAAACAGCAATAGGACTTTCTTCTAACTGCAACATGATATTCTCCAGTATGTCAGTTAAAATTTTCTTGAAGTCTTCTTCTTTAACCGTCATACTCGTGTCGTCTGCGTTATCCACCGTCTTAAAAGCTTCACTAATAACCTTATCCATCTGTAAAAAAATCAAACACATTGAGAGTCATAGGTGAGTTTTTAGATTTACTTAGTACTAGTATGCATATTGGCAACAATAACATACCTCTTCAATTGCACCGACCGGAGGTAAACCAGCGGACGGAGACACCACATCCAGTGCGACGCGCAAATATTTCTTTGAGATTTTTCCGTTTCGGTCTTTTGGAAGATTCTCTATAGTCGTGTTCGTCGTCTGCATACAAGAGAATGCAAAATTACAAATAAAGAGAAATTGGATAGCTTAACTGGTTTGAACTAAGAGTTCGTGTCGGAGTAAATAAAAAACCTTGTCTAATTGAAACTTGTTCGATAAGAGTCTCTTGACGCCGCTTCCATCAAAGGTATTTTCACTGTGAGCTACAATGACAGGTTTCTCTTTAAGATAATCAACCACATTCAATGCAACTTTCTTGAATTCTTCCATAAAAGTCTCTTGATCGGTAACAGGTCTATCCAAAGCTCGAGACAACAATGCTGGATCCACAATGTTGTTAAAAACCTAAGTAAAAATAAACACAATAGGTTATTTATTTTAATTATATTAGTATGCTCGTGTAAATCAGTTATCGTCAGCGCGTAATTGCAGAGACTAATTCTTCGATGCAAGGACAAGAACAGGTGCATTGCATTAGTGTATTAGTATTTAGTATTACCCAAGAATCTGATGTAGGGGGAATTCCTCGATCAACGTCGAGTCGTCCAAAAGCCTCAATCACATGTTGGCGAAGTGATGTACTCGAGTTTTCAATCTGAGAGAATATGGATGTCATTTCTGCATCATAACCCGGACCATTAAGAAACTCAAAGAGATCTTTCCCGTCCATCCGCAGTATAACAATCGGATCTCGCTTCAGTCCTGCAGCCATGCCTAATAGAATGTCTGATAAAACTTCTTTGAACTCACTCTTGCTCACTTTTTCTTGCTTTCCATGAGTGAATTCATTCAACACCTATACAAAAGAAAAATCAACTCGGAGTGTTACGATTAAGACTATACGGTTCATATTTAAAATTCGACGAACTCAAAATCCGAGTTGTCTAGTTTTGATGAAATGGTCCTGAGTTGGTGATTGTATGATTGCATAGGTTCATGAATCACGATGACAGAAAATTTAGGGTCCATTTAGTACATTATTGATACATAATGATATTGCCTCTATTTTCATCTTCATGTGAGTAAGGTATCTTTTATTCTTGCTTGTCCATTTTTAGGTAAGAAAATAGCTTTTTCCCAAAGGATTCCATTTAAAGATTACCTTTGCTTTTTCACAAGCAATTTCATCATTAACTATGATTCTAAACTATAATTTGCAAGTTCAAAGACTAAGGACTTGTTTGGTTAAACAGCTTATTCAGTGTCTTAAACTTATGACAGTAGATATGTCCATCTAAACAGACTCTAAACGGATTACATTACATGAAATCAAAAAGAGCATACCTGATAATAGATATGATCAGAGTCAGGAGTAGTTCCCTGAGCAGGCAAACCAAGAGCCGCCCCGATATCGGCCACAGCCGGCTCGAGTTCCTTCAAAGAAAGCTTCCCATCTCTGTCCTTATCCAGTTGATGAAACTTACTGTCCACATACTTACTAAACCCCTGCTCATTCCCAACCAACTCCATAATGTTGGACCCATCAAGAACTTCACCTCCATTTCTCTTCTGGTTCTTCTCCATCTATCTATCAACTGATGATGATTCTTGTTCCAAGTTTTGAGAGATCAAAAATGAAATGAATATGAAGGAGTGTTATGTGTGTCCCCACAACAAGTTCTTATAGGATTCAAGAGTAAAAGCAAAAGGGTAACATAACATAACATGTGCTACAAAAACATAAGTGCTGTTTGTTTTACCTCATGTCAAGTTTCTGTTCCATTACCAAACAACCATCCTTTTCTATCTATTGCCTTTTACTTTTTTATTTCTCTTGTTATTTTTAGTATCAACCAAACTTGTCTTCAAGATTACACATGTGCTAATTATATTCTTAGTTGTCAAAAATATTTCAAATTTTGTTTTTTATTTTTCTAAAAACTCTCGCCAGATTTTTGTTTATAAATATTTTTAACTTTGTTAATTTCTTAAATTAAGAGACACGTTTACTCATTTTATTTTTTTATTCTTTTAAAAGTTCACATAAATAATTTTTTAGAATTAAATATATTTAAAATTTCTACAAATATTTAGTTTTAGTAGTTTTAAATTTTTTAAATAAACTTTATAGTCTAGTCGTCAATGGTCTTTAAATTTAGGTGACTCCGCCAAAAAAGAGGATAATGCCTTTATAAATAAAATAGACTAGGTTTTTACATTTTTATAAATATTATTCTTTTTTTTTTCTTTTAAAGTTATTATTAATTTGTTAATAATCAAATTTTAAATTTTTTTTATTGAAATCAAAACAAAGTTATTTAATTTATCGATGGCATATCTTATTGATGAGTCGGTTCAAATTTACCTATTAAGCACATGCATTCTTCTTTATAAACATAAGATCAAAGCTCCTTAGTCGTTTTAGGACCAGGACAGGCAAGAAGCGAGGGAGACAAAGTCGTTGGGGTTAGATGTGGACTCTCATTATGACCTATTCAAGAAAATATACATTTATAGAATGACATAATACCTTGTCAGAGGAGGGATCCCATCTCGGTGAAAGAATTATCTAATCCGTTTTTACTGGCGAAGACGGAAACCATGTCCAACGTCTCATGGTCCATCCCTGACGATCGCTCTTCACCTTTAGATACTATGTCATTCTACTGCTTACCTTGATCTATTCTCGTTTCACTATTAACAAATAAAAAATAACAAAGGTAAATATAAGCATGGGATTGAGATTATATCCACCACAAAACTTAATTATCAGTTGGGTATTAACTAAAAGCATGTTGGTGTTCTTTAATATATGTTTGAGCCTTTCGTTCTCACTTCAAGTTGTATACGCGCTCTGGGTTGGTTAAAGGAAAAGTAGGGAAAGAGAAATCCATAGCGACTACCTTAAGACAAATGCCACAAAAAGTACATTCCCCTTGAACAACAATGTCAACCTTTAGGCTTTCCATAACAACCACGCAAATAATCCTAACGAATGACAAGTGAAGGAGTAAAAAAAGGAATTAGAATTATTATCTTTAGGGACCACATAGTTCGATATACGATGAAATTGAATAACCTAAACTCTAAGAATGTCATCAGAATAGAGAAAGAAAAACTAGGTCAAATGAAAACAAAAATACGTTAGGGTAAGCACATCAGTGGGGAGGCGAAAATGTTGAAGGTTTAACAAATGAGAAAATTTAAAAGAAGATTAGGTTTGCCTTTTTGACATTAAAACACTAGCAGCAGGCAACCTCATTATCTGCGAACAAAGTTCGGGGATAGCGCACAAGCGTAACTACCAATCCAAATTTGACCTCAATCTTATCACAACACTTGAGTGCTCTAATTGTATCACATCTCTCCAATGAAGCCTAAGGCTACATGGAGAAGTTAAATTGAAAAATATTTCAATTACAAGGTAAACATTTAAGGTGAATTTTCTCGAGGCTACCTATTCCCACTCAAGACGTCTTTGGCCCCATCTCCAAGATAAAAGTCCGTCTGGGAAATCTGGAACGACGAAGAAGATCGGTCTTAAAGCTTCCATCACAATCCTATGTTCATACATGATAGCAAGTACTTTGTGACAATTGTTCTTGGTCGGCCAAACGACCTAACAATAATATCGATCAAACACAAAATATCCAATCTAGAATACCCTTTCAGGAGAATGATGAACATGTAGACCTTTGCTAGAGAAGCGCACACCGGATCCAGATTACTCGCTTGTCATCATCCACAAGATCAAATTTGATTGTCTTCTGCATTCCACGTCACACCAATTGGAAACAATTTAAACCTCTTGCCATATATAAGCTCGTCTACACGCCATGACAGATAATATTTCATTCAATGTTA